TCCGTTGAGGAAAATATATCGTGTAAACGGCAATATCTTAACCATGATCGTCTTAACAGGGGTCTGACTGTAAGCTGTTCTGCATAAACCACAACTTTTGTGATACTCGTCTTGGGGGGGGCAAAGATTCAATAGATGTCCGCGGCGTCCTCTTCAAACCAGGGAGTGAGATCATCTCCCGAAACCGAGTTCAGTCAAATTTCCAAGGTCAAGAAGTTGGCCCACGAGTTAATTAATTTACACCCCACTGCATCGGTATATCACTTCAACCAAACTCAATCTCGAACAATGCCTTATTAAGTCCCCAAGTACGATCTAGTGTAATCTCATTTCAGTGACTACACATGTTGTAAACCCAGTCTCTGGCATCAGCTGGTCGCAAAATAGGCGCCCACGAGAATATGAATACCCGCCAGAAGAGACAAATTGTTGCGCACAAGTCCAGGAGACAGACCTTTAGAATGGAAGTGAACGATATCAAGATGGACGGAAAATATGAAGCTACTGATGTTAATAATCTTGAAAGAGATAGAATTTCGATTTACTGGAACGGTTCTATACATTGTATATTGTGCATTATTTGACTTGGTTTGCAAGAGTACAAAAAACACTATCAACATAGTCATGGATAAAGGTTGCAGGAGCAAATCATCCGGCCGGTCTCCAAAACAAATTCTGGAGAGCTTGGACACATATCCCACTAGCGACAGGAGATGGGTGGTTTGAATCCGGCAAAACATAACCACATTTCTCGCGGCGCTGATATGCATAGATATCGAAGGCACGCTTGGATAATCAAAGCTTTTGAAAGGTCCCTTTAGTGGATTCTCAAGGAGAATATCGACTATTTGCATATCTAACGTACCTCGTACTGGTATTTGCAAATGAAATCCAGAGTATGAGTGCCTCTGAAGTTAAGAGTCATTCTAAATAGATTAAATATAGCGGTCATATACCATAGCTAGGAAGCTACATAAACATGAAATTGATTAAAGAAAGGGCTCCTATTCTCTCTTACGAAAAATTATCTCTGATATGACGACGATGATGGATAGCCATAAAGATCGGTATTAGCCAGTAGAGTTTAACCTCCTTTACAACCGAACCTTAGACCCAGAAACAAAATTTATAGACCTAGACACCGGAGCCACACGAATGTATGTGTTGACCTACATCCATCCAAATCTCTCTTGGAAAAAAAGGAGCCCACCCTGATCCAATTCACCATAGCCGTACCAGGAGCAGGGTATTCTCTAAAGTCTTATGGGACGACTTCTCCCCCTCCCGACTAAGGTAAGAAAATTAAATAGATGGTAGGTAGGGCTTCGATCCATGGGGCTGTTTAGAGATGATGCGGTTCTTGGCTATCTCAGATATGCAGCGCATACTCAGCATTTACACCTGTACCGTTAGGAGGTGAAGAAAACGTCTTTTCTGGCCGCTGCTAACACATTGAGTGATTCAGAAAGACCATGCCGCACCAGCCTACCCATCGGGCTGGCTCCTGTTTCGCTCTTCCAAGATTTGTCGCGGAGGGCAAGGCTGAACACTTGTACGTGACGTCCTCTACGAACCTGGGACTGAAATATTCCCCAAGAGCCAAGTTCAGTCAAATTTCGCAATACCAATGGAGTTGGCCCACGAGACAATGGTTCAAATTACTCCACCACGTCGTTTTTTCGCTCCCAACAAGTTTGACGCCTACCTAAGTCTCATCAAGTCTACAAGTACGTCATAGTACATCCTCATTCCAATGATCACACCACTCTTCGACCTTCTCTGGCCTCAGTTGACCGCCATATACACGCCCACGCCGATATTTATACCCGACGGAGGAAGCAAAGTGTGGCGCACAAATCTGGGAGACAGTTCTTTGGGATAGACGTGAGAGGGATAGGGACAAGTTCACAAGATGATGCAGAGGATAGACACAGTCTCGTCGGGCGTGAAACTTCGAATTTTGGCAAGAGTTTTACGAATTCAGCTTTGTGCGCGCCAAGACTTCGCTTGTGAGAGTGCAGCTAACACTATAAACACAAGCAAACGATGGAAGGTGTTGTGGTCCATCTCCTGGTGATGTTTTCTGGTATAGTCTGACTAGCCTGGGCACCTACTCCACTTGGGAAGGAGACATCTTAGTACCTATTTCGCGCGGAAAAATGTGAACGGATGATGGAGGCATGTCTGGATAACTCAGGATTTTTAGACGTTCCCCTGGGTGGGTATTCACGGATGAGGGTTGACTTGGGGTGAAGAAAAAGCCGCCATAACTTCGCAGTGGTACTTGCAAATGAAATCTGAGGCATGAGTGCTCTACTTTTAAATTGAATCATCTATTCTGTACTTTTCTTTGGTATTGTGTCATAGCTAGATAGCTACATACGCAAATAAAATCTGATGCAAAAAAAAAATTGTCGCGCTAAGGCGTCGAAATGGTCTTCGCCGAACCACAGCGATCAACCAGCGTGTCTAGGTCTCCCCTGGCTGGGGCAGAAGGGCTACTGAGAATTTTTGAGTAGGTGATTCTGTGGAAGGGTCGCAGGATTCTACGGGTTAATACTGAGCTGATTGGCTATCCATCACGGACAACTTGTCAGAGATCTTTGAAGCGACAAAAGAGAATACGAGCATTTTCCAAGGTGTGTCCTGGCTCAGAAAAGAGCCAATGTGCTAGATAGTCATAGATCCAAGTAGCACAGTATCCCATTCACGCACATGGAAATAAAGAAGGGACCAAGTGGAGAGGCGAGTACGTGCCTTTGCCTGTCGGTGAAGTCCGGGCCCATCGCTTCCAACATGCGAACGCCCACTTGTTATGCTCAGCTATGTAGTATGGTAGATCTAGTAGCTGGTGCATAGGTAGTTATTATGGCAGCATGGCATCATGGCACATGAAGGAGATCCAGTCTCTACATAACGACATTACAAGTAGGAATGTGTGCAGTATGAGAGATGGGTTGTTAATATAGGATAAATGGCATGGCTGCTCAGTTGGTTGCACACTTTGGTGAGCTGCATACTGGTAACGTGATTGGTCTACAGGGAAACAAGCTAGGGGATAAGGGACGAGCTTCCCCCAATCTGTAACATAATAATTATCATAGTCACTTCACTTCTGCACATTAATGAAGACATCTCTCCACATACTGTCTTAGCTGTTCCAGCGCAAGTGTACATTCCCATTTCATATACCAAGTAAAACACCACTTGCGCGGGATTATCCTCCCGACAACTTCTTGTTCTGACGACGGGTTCGAGACTGCGCCAGCCTTGGGGCGCACTTTGGCATCTGAGCCTGGATACTGTTAAGTCCTTGAGACAGTCCAGGCAGCAGGCTCTCTGGGACTAGATTTATATCATGGTCCCAACTGAGCCAATGACTATGGTGGACCTCCAGAATCCACATGAAAAAGTATAGCTACATTTAATAATTTCGAATCTCACTACTTTTACCTTTGTTCTCTTGGATAGTGAGGGTCAAGCCCTATTTGCTGACGCTCTAATAAACTGGTTTCTCATTACATCCTTTTCTTGAAGAAATGTAGTGCCACTGCTTGTAGCCCGTTTCCAAAGGAAACTTTCCCACATAATTCAATTAAACTCATCCATTATGGATCCTTGCCATCATACTCTTTTAGATAAGCTCTAGTATTAAGCTGCAAGGTAGCCAGTAGGTGACTCAAGGAAAAGTTACCCTGCAACATTAATTGAAGTTAGAATGAAGCTAAACAAGCTTTAAATCTTAATCAAGGCCGTGTCTATCGAGACGCTGGTGCGTCAGATGACTGTTACATGTCAAGCTAATCTATACGTGCTCTACAAAGACACTTCGTTGAGCGAATGCGCAACGCTGAATAACCAAAAAACAGCCCGTGCCGCAAGCAGCGTTCTTGTCTTGAATTGAGGCAACTTGGTCCAACTTAACATCCTGCCTCGAGGAATAGGCTTCATTTTTGAGCCTATATCCGCCATTTAATTCTCAAGAGAAACTAGATATGCTAGCAATCACAAGCATCCCAATCATCATGTGTCCCAAAGCCGACTACCTCTCATACCGATGAGTAGACGGATCAATTTGGAATCTGCGATAGTCTCGTCTAGGCGAGACTCGAGGCTTTTGACGATGCTGATCATCTGGAAGGAGGGCCGACTGGGGTACCACAAATATTCTATGAAGTGCGCAAATGTCCACTCACGAGAAAATTAGCCTGACTAGGAGCGATAAATTCTCATTTATTAACATTAATTATTACTTTCCTAGGAAAATATGCAAAGTCTCGTAGGATTTTAACACAGATCTATAGGCAGATTGTAAAGTCATCTAATTAGTTCCACTCAGAATTATGAGAAAAATATATAAGCCTGTATCAGGGGCGCAGGATCGGGATAGAGCGTCATGCAGGCAAGCACCTCGTTCTGAGGTCGTGTTTACGACAAAAAGGCACGCCTAGTGATGTAAAATAAGAAGCTCGTTTTTGGTAGGGAATTGAGCCAAAAACTATTACAGAATTTAATCTTATCTAATACGAGCTCCAAACTATGAGCAGGAAGCTAAGTCGGCCAGAGAAGGGTAGGAATCAAACATGGGCGTTTTATGGTACCAATGGCCACTCATTGAATATGAGCAAATGCCAAAACGAGGACTTCGGGAAAATTTTTGAACTTGGTCAAAGAAATTTCAAATTGTGACTTTATATGACAACCTCTAGACTACGATTAACCCGGTTATAGACTAGTTGGAAAATATACGCTACCATCGCCTTAAAACACCTGTCACGCATATTTAAACTCCAGACTTGGAAAGAAATGATAAATCAACCTGCTTACCCTTATGATCATAAGTCCAGGCCTCAATGACCTGATTGTAGACAGATGTTGCGACGCCAGCTCTGACACCAGTGCCGAAATTGAGGTCCTACTTGCAGAATCGGGGAGCAATATTGAGATAAAGTAAAGAAATTTCATAAATGAAGAATCACATATTCGTACGAGCAAAATTTCTAGAAATTTTCTTTGCCCCAGTTGAAAGCAAACCCTGTAAAGATTAGTCAAATAAGTAAAAGATTATTCATAAGTAAGCATACCAGGTTCGGTGTACATGTTGCACTTAATATGTAGGACACTACCCAATACTTTGGGCCCACAAAAGAACACACCAGCTTCAGCTGGGCTATGAATTTTGACAATACTCTTGAAGACCATATCCCAGTTAGGTCGACCAAAGTTGGTAGGTGCGCGTAGACCAGTTATAGCATCACGATCGGCGTTTGCATCATTTATCATAATATTGGTAGCGTCGTCGGCTTTAATTCTGGCAGTAAGATAGGTGTGTATTTCAATTCGGTTGTCCGTATCTTGGGCTTCAATTGCCAATAGAAGAGAACGAAACCATTCGAAAGATCCAAAGTCACGACAGACCCAGAAGAAATAAACTTTGCGGAGGCGAGTCTTTTTTTGAGGATAATTCATGCGATACCAAATCGACTTCAAAATTGAAGCAAATGGCGTGACTCCAATACCTGCCCCAACTAGTACAGCAATCTCGTACTTGAAAACATCTTCTGAAGCTGAGCCAAATGGTCCATCGATATAGACTCGCGGAAGGACTCTCTTTATAGCTGGGTCGACACCGTCAGAGACTACCTGTGAAGCATTTTTCTTCTCTCCTTTTGGGGGTTCCAGTTCACACCCTAGCACTCTTCCAACTGATCGAGTGAAGTCTCCTACCATTCTGATGTGGATCGATATGTAGTCTTCTTCAGGGGCTGAAGTAAGTGTAAAAGGGTGGTACTGCCAGACGGACACTGCTGGGCAGCAAAAAAATATGTATTGTCCGGCTCTTGTCTTTGTATTCTCTTTTTTTATTTGGATCTCACACACATTGCTGGGATGATGGACTACCTTTGAGATCACAGTTCGATCCTTGCCCCGCATCTCTCGAGCAATTCTTTCAGCTAAATAGATGTACCCGCCATATGTCCAATATTGCCAGAAGACGCCTATTGCCGAAGCTCCAATATTCGTACAATACGGTGCAAAGTCTGGCTGAATCATGCAAAAAGCGCCATGAATCGACCAGAAGAAAAAGAAGACGATAAAAAAGTGATGAGTGTACCAAAACCGCTCAAAGTTAGCACGACGCATTTTTTCAACTGAGGTGATAGCCATCATCATGAGGGCCGTTAGCATTATATATCCAGTCCATCCAGGACCAGTGACGAAATTAGCCAAAAGCCAGCCGGCAAATCCTAAGTCATTCTTAATTGAGATTTGAGCGAAGTTAACCCAATGGGCCAAAGTGTGTAGCCATGAGAAAAAAACTATCGACCAGGCTGTAGTCATATGAAAGGTAATATTCTTGTCGAATTGTATGATACCGTTGAGCGGAGTCTGACGTGCCAGTGAAATTAAAGTTCGACAGACAGGTAAGAGAATCATAGCAACGTCAAAATGCAGAGTCAACGCGGAAGCTCTTGCTATCGGATAAGTTATACCGAATGTTGATCTTGCTAACGTCAAGTTATCTTTAATTTGATAATTCATGAAACCAAAGGTGAACACCATAGCGTGGATTCCTGCAAAAACAAAAACAAAACTGTTGAAGTTAGATCCATGTGCTTAAATGAGTGATAAGGGGAGGTACAATCTTCGATATCCTTCATTTACCATCCATCGGTCAAATCGTTCACGATTTCCTAGTTCTTTCGTCTTTTCTCCGCTCATTTCTCCCGACATAAGCATACGGGTTAAAGGCGGCCATCTTGAGCGCTCTGAGACTCTGATAGAGCCTGTACTGCTCCGATCTATGCCTAAGTTTTTAGACATTTTATTGCGAAGTAAATAAGATCTTGGTAGTCTATGTGATTTGTTTGACTAGATGAGCCTTGATATCCCACTGAAGCCCAAATTTATAGTAAGCGTGAGTGGTAACCTATTTTCTCCAGAGCCTGCTGAGTCAAAGGGTAAAGATTTGAGTAAAGTCGTATGTTTTTGAATGTATATATTTATTTTCGATATTAGGATTTAATTGAATGGGCATTTGAAATTAATGAATGAACCTAAGGTGGAGATGTTAGATGATGAGAGTCAATTCAATTATGCCATGAATTCCCGGAGAAAACATACCTTTTTACACACACAATGGCCAGCACTGGTAGATGCTCTATAGCTGAGATGTAAATATCTAGTAAGAGGAGTTTTAGGCTCTGTAGGAGGAGGAAATAAATTATTATGCGAAATACTATGGATAGCGCCTAGATAGAAGACGAAGAAACTGGAAGCGCGCAGGTCGAATCATTATAGTCTTCGTGGGCCGATAGGCTCTTCTGGGGGGTCGAGTATCACTAAGGGGGCCGAAACGTGGCAGCTGCTTAAGAGGGGTCAGTCTTTGACCAGACGAGGGGCAGATGTAGGGTTGGTTTCAAAGACCGGGTTTAGGCGGATGGAAATGTCAAACTGCATGATCCGAATTCCTGACCTGCAGACTTCGACCCGAAACAGATGATACCTGAAACATCCAAGTTCTGGCTCTCACTCGCTCATGATTCGCCGATCATCGGGATTTCCGCATCTTCCCATCACAATCAAGATCACAGAAAAGATTTCCAGCACTTGGCGAACACTGGATAAAACGGATAACTTTTTTCCACTTTGAGTGTAGAATTAGACGTTGTGGTGGCTGACGAGGCATACAAAATGAACAGCCTGAAACGATTAGAGCGTAGGTCGAAATTTTAGAAGTAGGACAATCGGTTCAGAAACCAAATACCAGAGTGATAGGCTTATTGCCTCCTTCTGGGGGAGCTCCTGGACGACGTAAATGTTGTTGATCAGTTAGCTGGGATTTTTGAGAGACAATGTGACATAGACTTCGAGGTTAATAACCAGTGTATTGAGTTTCATTTTGAGATGAAAATCAATTCGCTGTTTTCTGTTCTACGTCTAGAAGTGAATTGTCAGCTACAACGTTATTGGGCTGATTCTTTGGTGGGCGAAATGGATCTCCCAACTCTATCCCAAAGAGGCGCCCTTATCACGTGCATTGGCCGTTTATATACGAATGGGTCGACGGCTGTGTTTTTGAAGCAGAAGATCGACCACGATGTCGAGCAACGACAGTCGTGCACTTTTTGATCGGATGATGGAGCAGGGAAGATGTCGCGGGCAAAGTCTCATTTGGCGTGAGTCACTATCACCATTACAGTCGCAAGGAGATGTATCAGGTGAGAAACAACCCCGTGATATCAAAGCAACTTGGCACAAAATATCATCTGGTTGCAGTGTAATTGATTAGATATCTTCAATACTTTCTTACCAATGTCTCCCATAGATATTGTCATCAGTCTCATTTATACCTCTGTACTTTCTCGTCTACCGATGGCCCATATTTCTTCTGTATAGAGACACAGATCTGGGAAGGCACATATGTAGAACAGATAGATTTTGGAATGGTTGCACGAGGTTTTATCTGGTTTCTATGTTTCGCTTACGTACCGTGGCAGGTCAATAGTCTTGGACATTGATGAATCCAAACTTGAATCGCGAGAAAAAGGGAGCCATATTTTAGTGAAAGAATAGGATAAATTTTAGTAATTATTGCAAAATCCCATCCTCTCTCATTAATCTTTGTAAGGATTAGGTCTGATTTGTGATCTCAATTGCCAAGCTGTTGATCACAGTTTATCTAGACGAAAAAGCTTGCCACATAGTTCCAATCTACTGGGCTAGGTAAAATTCCAGCTTAGTGCATTTCTTCATAGGGTTCTGGTGTTTGAAAGGCACATGATGGTGGGCGACGATTTCAATCGATTCAAGATACACATAATTCTTGAGTAGCGTGGATCAACTTGTGGTCTAGGGGTAGGTGTGGAAATAATAGAATTGTGAACGACATGTCTTGGTCTCACGCTCAGACACTAAAGGCTTGCAGGCTTAGATCCATAGTTGTTGTGTGTGTGCCGGGATATTCATCACTGTTATTCTGGATGATTCGCTAAACAACCTCGTGCAAAGTGTGGCCGGCGAAGACGAGTTCTTCGCCTTCCAGTGGTACCGGTGTATTCGCTTAGTACGCTCTGCATATCTGGGATAGCCAGGAGACTTGCATCCGGATCGAAGTCGAAAGCAATCTCAAGCACATCTTCAATGGACGATTCCTCGTTTAATGTTGGACCTATCATTCTCACGCGAGTCCCCTACCTCAATCTTTCTACACCACCTCGCCTTAACTATCGATAAAAGCGTGACTGTAATTGCAATCGGTAATATGCCTCATCAAAACCGAAAATCTCCCACTACACATTTACGATGCTATGTATACCCGCGAGGAGGAAACTAAGACATGGTACACAAATCTCGGGTCTTGGTCTGGAGGCAAACTAAGCTTTACTGGGGCTTCAGATCTTGAGGGAAGACAGGCAGCTAGGACATAGGACGAGCGAGTGAAGAGGACACAAATGGGCAAGCTACGACTCGCATTTTTCAAGTATTTTCAACCTTGGGGTGCTTATGGGCGCCGAGGCTACGATTTTGGATAGTGCTACCGACACTCTAAAAACAGGCAACTATGGAAGGTGTTTTGGACCGACTCCTGGTCTTCATCTCCGCAAGTGAGACTCTAAGTAGATCGGACTTTTCACTTTATCGATTTCTAACTCGTGATCTAATGGCTGAGGATTTGAATTTGAAATCTTTTACGTGACAGGAAGAACCCAAATTCTATCTAGACGTGACACGGGAGTGGCTGAGGATTTGATTCGATTTGATTAGATTTAACGTCGTGCCAGTATAGAGCATCAAACTGTTGAAACGTGCCGGCCGGCCCAGTCCCCAATGAACTACCCAAAGCTCTGACGCGCCCTAAGCACCCAGAAACTACAAGAGAGTCCGACCAGCTGTCCGCTATGAAGACTAGAGCTGAACATCTTTCAGTAGTGCTCTATACGAGCCTGGGAGCGAAATATTCTTCCATAGCTGAGATTCAGTCACGAAAAGGGTGGGATGCTTTTTTTTTGAAGGATTTTCGGCCAGAAAGAGTTGTATTCGGTATTTTGGTCGAAAAATCAGTCGGCAGAGATTTCAAAACCGCAAGAAAGTCGAACCAAACTCATCACCACCAATATATACGAGTCACGAATGGGCTTAGGTCTATCTGGGGGTCGTATTCAAACAAATAGCATCTCTCAAACTCCTTATGTGCTTGCGACAAAGTATTTCTCAGCCGATTCTACACCTGAGACCCACCTCTATACTCGTCACGTCACCTACCTACACACGCCCTACTGAGGAAAGTTATGATGGAAATAGGACGTGTACAAAGGAGGAAGAAAAGGGAATATACACTGAGGGGATTACACAAATCCCCAATGAAGACAACAACCCAACGGTACGATATAAAAGTGCAAGGCTAGAACAACGATGAGATCTGGGACCATATTTATATTTCGGAGTCAATGAGGATGTCAAGGGCTCGAGCGCGTGGTGGCCGAGGCTGAGGAGGAATTTACGCAACGGCGTCTACACAGCAGGTTTCTAGACGGTCAGGCTTGGTATGGTTCAACACATAGGTGAAGTCTGAGGTGGTCCAATTATTTTGATGTGACGAGGTATATCTGTACTTCGCGATAGTTAACCTAATCCGGCCCGACCCCATCCGTCCTTAAGCTCCAGTAGGAGTGTGAAAGGTGACATGTACTTAGCACGTAGATAAATAGGACAGAACAGCTGTCCGCCACTCTGATTTCCACTGTGTTTGTGGCAAAATCCCCCTTGCCGGGAACTTTACACGTATTTTTACTGGTACAGTTCGGACTCCTTGTAACAATATTTTCTTCGCGCAAGCATTACGATCATATAGTAAATATAACAAATTAACGATATTTGATATATTATTGTCGCCATTCATTCATTCATTTCTCTAGTTTAACGACCTATGCGGTATCTATATATAGATCCATGAGGACGGTAAGCCGCTTTGGTGTGGGAAAAAGCTTTCATCAAACAAAACCCGATGTTCTGTCCCTCTGAACCGACCCGGCCTAATGCTGAGAACGTTCCTTTCAACCATAATTTTATAAACTTTCCATGAACTTCATAAAATCCCTCTTCGGTCAGACTGTTGCTAGAAGAAATTGAAAAGAGAAGACACCTCCTCACTCGCCGTTGATCGACGACGTGTTCGAAGAGTTGGCCCTGATGGTGGTGCTGCTGTCGAGGCGATTGTTGGTGCCACTGGGGCTTCGACTACCTTGCGTGGTCGTCCCGGCTCTCTTTTGGATCCTTCAGCCTTCTTACTGGTGACTAAAGTAAATTCCTGATCATCAGTTGGTCCGACTGTTCGCATTGGCGCCATTGTTGGTTTTTCATTCCATATTTCCGCCGTTCTTGACAACAGCTCCATCCGAGCTTTCTCCACAATTTCCTTGTAGACCTGGTAGGTCCGACACGCTGCTTTCTACCATGAGCGGTGCTCCTTGCCGCAGTTCGCACGAGAAACCCTTTTTCTTCGGACAGTCCCGAGTTTGGTGAGCGCCAGCGCACTCACCGCACCTGCCTGCCTTTCCACACGACGCCTGCGTGTGTCCCCACTTGCTGCAGCTGTAACACTGCTTTGGCTGGGACCGTGGTGACCATACCTGCGCGGTGTAGTGCATGGCGTTCATAACTAGGCCGTTTCGGACCACTTCCGTCTGCATTGCCTCCGATGGGAGGCTTATCACAATTGATCCACGAGTGCGGCCATTTTTCTTTGGCCGCTGGTGTTCCTTCCCGTCGTCTAGTCACCTTATACGACTAATAACTAAGCCTGGAATCCGTGCCTTCGTAGCCGTCTCTATCTCCCTGATGATGGCAAAATTATTGGCATCTCTGCCCCCTTCAATTCGTGTCCGTAATGGAACACCGTCAACCTCGACTGTAAAATCTTGTTGCAGAGTTTTGAATTCCGTTGGTTGTCGCATATTTAGCGCCGCGTCTCTCTGGGACGCGGACTGGACGAATACCTCGGTATCGTTGCTTCGCATTTTACGAATTGCGTATGCACCTTGTATGTGCTGTTTTGCCTTTGAAAGTAGCTCTTGTGGCTGCAAGTTTTGAGCTCCGTCGATTCTTATTCGTACCGCTGTTTGTTATTTGAGGAGCCACGACCGACGCGTAACTCCTTGGTGTCGACGCGCCCGAAACCACTGCTGGAGCAGCTTTTCGAGCGGGATCCGCGAGGCCTTTCTTTACGACTTCCTCTAAAGCCATCATCCTCTCCTCGTTAGGAATCCTCTTCTGGGACATTTCTGTCCAGGCCCTTTTGTGTGCGTTGAAGGCCTTCACGGCCGTGTTCACGTCCTCTATTGAGGGTAAGTCCTCCTTATCCATCTCTCCCATCACTATTAGTCTAACCTGTTTTAGTAGTTTGCCCACGATTTCGAGGTTTCTATCCTTCGGAACTGTCTACGCTCCGCTGCCGTTGTTTGTTGAGGCCATTGTTGCATTTTGCGACGCGTCGAAACTGCTGGATTCACCCACACCAGCACCCGCACTCGCCATGTTGCAGCACGGAAAGCGAAAAGATGGAAGGAGGATAACGAAGATGAATGAATTATAATCACTGTATCAAATTGATGATATAGGCAGCGTAGAAGGCTGCATAGCTTTCTGGCAAAAATTGTGATTTAACGGATTTCATGTAGTGCAGGAGAGGTTTATTGTTGTCGCCATTAAAACTGGTCATTCCAATTATGGCAAAGACAGGGATGTGTTGAATATACGTCACCAGTCTCCCATTAATTTTGAGATTAGTTTTAATGCGGTTTGACGTAGATACCAGCCGCTAGATTTTCTAGTTACTGAGTATAGTTTATACAGCACTCTGTGTCCTAGTGGGAGTAATTAACAACTCTCCATGACAGATATACAGACTCCTCTAATTTCCCCACTCGCTCCACCAAGTGATGTGTGTGCGTGTGTTTATTGTACTACTTGAGCCATAGACTATCTAACACAGGGCTCCTCTCTGACCCAGGCCACACCTTGTACAGTGCTCCTATCCTCTTTTGTTACTTGAAAGATCATTGATATATTCCCCTTAATGAATGGCCATTCAGCTCAGTATTTACCCGTGGAATTCAGCCACCTTTTCCACGGAACCTTCTACCCAAAAAAAATAAAAATGGTAGCAATGGAAACTGCGTGCGCGGAAAAAAAGTCCCAAAAAATTGCAGCCCCAGCCAGGCGAGGCCTAGACACCGGGACTACATGATTTGCGCATATTCATCTGTATCTCCCTTCTTTGTAACAGTCGAAGTCGACTTGATCCAATCCACCATCTCCGTATCGGGTGCTGGGTACGCTCCTGAAACTCATCGGATGGCTTTTCTTCCATGATCAAGGGTGGGTGATGAGTAGAGCTCCGACCCTACCATCTGATCTGATCGTGGACAGCTTCATGATAATGGTGATAGGGGAATGTGTTGAGAGATGAAGATGATATAGACCGCAAAAACGATTAGGAATAATCATCGAAGTGAGGACTTTGTTACTCAATTTCGGCTCTGCAGACTCTTCAGTGAGAGCTGGAGGTTCGTAGAAGATACCACTTACAGATTTTGAATTTCATCCCCCTCATGCCTCGGATTTCATTTTTCAATACCACTGCGAAGCTACGGTGGCATTTTCTTGACCTCAAGTCAGCCCTCATCCGTAAATACTCACCCAGAGAAACGTCTCAAAACCCCTGGGTTATCCACATATACCTCCATCATCCATTGACCTGTCTCCGTGCGAAATGTTGTCTTGGGCTTTTGCTTCCCAAGTAAAGTAGGTAGCGAGGCTACTCAAACTATACCGGAGCTCACTACTAGGAGGTAGACTACTGTAACTGTTATCATTGGCTTGGTGCACCCACTGCTTTTTAACTCAAGAAGAATTTAGCCAGAATTGGAATTTCGCGTCCGTCGAAATTTTACCCATACCTTGTTTTATCCTCCCTTTACTTTCTGATATCTCCCACTTCCATCCCGGAAATCAGTCACTCGTATTTCTGCACTACAATTTTTGTTCTCCGATAGTTTTTCATATTGACGTGAGCATGTATTTTGTGGCCAGCTGAAGCCAGAGAACAGTTCGTGAGAATTGTGTTCGTTTAAACGAAGATTTTTGTGGTCGTACTTGCAGATTAGATGATGCTTTGGCGGGAATGGATAGCGTTTAGAACAAAACTATGATATGTTATAGTCACGAATCATTGCTTCTTGGACCAACTTCTTCGGTATTGCGAAATTCGACCTAACGTGGCTGAGTGATAAAATTTCTTATAATTTATAGAGGACAAAGTGGATAGGCTTCAGTCTTTGCCGCTATACTTTTTCCCATGCCTCATCTATTTATTCTTTGCAGAGTCGTAATGCTCATTAAGACTTGTCGTGAGAAGCATCTAGACTTGTTCCTCTATCTCCCGGGCCTTTTGATGTGAATTATATACAAATGTCATAATTTCACTAATACATTGAAAACACATTTGGTAGAAGCAGGGGACCCAAGGTTTTTCATGAGATACGGTAGTGCTTTTTCCTGCAAAAAGTTCATTGTCGATTTGGGAAGATCCAAACTTTTTCCAATGCAGCCTCTCGATAGTCTTCGCATAACGTTCGTATATCTAGCAGATAAAGTATGGTAAATTATGTTTCGCAGTTGATCTGAACAGCAGGACAAGAGAGCAACATTGTTTGATCGCCAGTCACAGGAGAGCATGAAAAAGCAAGTTGGTTGAGGTGATTGTGAACAACATTGTCATTTGAGGACCCCGTGAGCCCTACAGTACTTTTTAGAACTAAAGTATCTTATGTACACAGTCATGAGTTGCCGGAGCAGAGTAATGAGCAAGTAATGGAGGGTTGGATAGCCAACGAGACTTGGAGACGAGCTCAAATCTCCCTATGCCCCTGATCCTATAGTTGAAGTTTTCTAGGCAACCGCACTGGACTGTTCTTTTCTTCCAACTAGCTTATTATCTTTTCTGACTTTACTGGCCGAAGTGTAGCTTAACTCAAAACTTTACTGCATACCCAGCAAATTAAACTAGCCTGTCAGCGAAACCCAGCGTCGACTGCACTTGGACGCTACTGTCGACCAGTAGCAATAGCTTTCTAGCTCGATGAGCTTTATCATCGCGCCCGCCGCTGTCTGAAGTGAGGAGTTTCCTGTATACACATCCAGAATAACGCCACCCATTCTTTTTGTTATCAATTAATATTAAATTTGCAAATTCTTGGTGAGGTGCTAGAATGCCATCGAGAAAGCTTATTGAGTTTATTCTCGTAGTCTTCAGCACATGTGCGCAATGTGACGTGGTAGGGTAGTATTTTTTCGAACACCGTTTATGATAGTCAAGTTGTGCTCTTCACAATAAAAATGTGGCACCACATCCCCTTTATAATTCGATCTTGAATTTAGTCTAGGCCCAAAACAATATGTCGCAGTCTAAATTCTTATCACAGAATCTAGATGAGGTTTATCTGTATTAGGCCGTCCATTTTAGATCTAGTCCAGCAGAAACCTTACAGAGTTAGAAATTTAGGTGGATATTTATCTCTTACTGGCCTCGAACTATTGTTGCACCTATAACTAATTGGCATAAAACGAGAAAGATCATCTGATATGGCATTTCTTCCTCAGCCTTTTAAACGGCCATTAATTCTCTCCAATATAATCGCCAAGGAAAATACTCTGAAATTTAAGCGGTTCTGGAGTATCAAATTCATCTTAGTGACAAAAGCCCAATTAAGTACAGTCGGGTCTTGCTGATTTGAGCCAGCCTCCGTCCCGTATGGAGTAAATGGTCAGACTATTCACACTCTACTCAGGAGACCTACCTGGACAGCTTGTTTTGGCGTTATCTAGCTCACATAGTCAGAGGTGTTGAATAAGAAACCTGAGAGGTTATCGATATCTGACCATCAACTTTCAAGGGGCTGGCATATGTTTTTGAGGACCTTCCTTTATATTTAGAGCTATTATTTCAAGAGTCTGAAATGCTTACGTAGCATGGAATTATGAAGTCCTATAGGGAAATGAATTATTCAAGTGTAAGTGTTTCATTGCTCCGAGTGCTATATCATACGTTTAATTTCACCGCTCGCATGGAACCAGAGTTTTTCCATATCTCATTCTCATAGGCTTAGATGAATTGAATTCATTCGGGCCATTGTGTCAAAGCTGCCCTACTTTCTAAACCAAAAGGCAACCGAGGATTGAAAACTAGATTTGACCCCAAATGGGTTTCTAAATTTTCTAGACAGCATATTTCCGAGTCCACTCCCGCGCTGTAGACTCATAACGACTTCTATCAGACTTGTATACATGGGCGATTTCAGGTACAAGAGGATCATCAGGATTCGGGTCGGTCAGCATAGAACAGATAGATAAAAGTACTATAATTTTTATGTTAGGTGTGTTTCAATTGATGTCTATTTAATTGGGTTACCTTTGGAGATAGTCAATGCCGGAGACCACTGGTCACGTAAAATATCTAGACAGATAGAGCCATTGGAATTTATGTTGGGATGGTAAATACGTGTTGTAAAGTTAACCTTTGGCGGCTTGAATGGGTAATCAGTTGGGAAATGAATGGATAAAAAGAAGACGCCTCCAGAGTATGGTGATTCTGACTGGGAATGAGTTTAGCTTTATTTATCTTGTAAATGTGCCTGAACAGCAGAATAATCGTGATATTGCTTTGGCCCAGCAGCTGATTATTTGCGCTGGTAGTTAACTTACGGGACCCATAATTGTGGCAGTCCATCGGAACTATGTAATCAGTGATGTTAGTGATCGCATTCTTGGATCATTAAACGTGAAAGTCTTTTATCGCTGTCTCTTTTTCATTCAACGTACCATATCTTCCCCGGAGGGACCAGCGGAGCACGATGAGGGGGGGTCTCTAAAAATGAATTAGGTTAACTGGTTTCAATCCAAATTTGTATTCAGTAGGAAGTTGTTCATGTTTGTTTAGTGAGCGACCCCGCATCACTGACACCCCACTATTAGGTCGCAAGAGTTGAGCTGTCTATGACGATGGGAGTACGTACTTGCCCAGGTCTTGAAGTTCTTTTAAAATTCTTTTGAGAGCCATAATCACAGCCTGTGTGTATCTATAGAATTCGGTTGTTGTGGAACGAAGTGATGGACTTTGATGTAAATAGTGAGGGTGTTGGTTGTAACTTATTGCGGATCGAATGTTGCAGATAACGTTGGTCACGGGCTAGCTAACCGCTTCAAAAGGGATTTTGTTGCCAAGATAATGCCAAGGCGCCAGCTAGGGCCAAGGCAATAGCAACTCTGTTGAGGCACTAAGCCTATTTAGCCGACTAACTTCCGCGCAGCAGAATCAGGTAGATTAGTCGTCAACGGGGGCTTCTGCACATCTCGACCCCCCTAGAATAATCTGAATTTAGACATGCCTAAACATTTACATCCCTCTCCCGCAAAGTAAATTCGACCCTACACTGAAACGACTTACCCCTTAGCAGTCAAGAGTTATTAAAATGAATATACCCCACCGCAACTGCCAGCGATCTCTACGCAATCCCAGTTTTGAAAGCTCTTCCGAGCCCGTTCATCTTTGCGCCCTACTTCATCTCAGCACTAAATGAATGACAGCCAGAGTTACAATTCTAGCTTGAGTGGTCCACTTACCTATTTAAACTGATGGCAGTTGTAATCAATTGGCCGAATTTAAACTAGCTTTGTTGGAGAATCGGGTCAATTTGTCTCTCATTTAAGTTACAGGTTATTTTGCTGCCTTTTCCGTCTGCTCCGTTTCCTATCTAACATGCCCTCAGACACCACTGTAAAACTCCTTGGGGGGAGTGTCCAAACACTGATCTTCTATAGTTCAGCATTGCAACACGCACTGGCCTTAGCACTTCAGGTCAGGCTGATGCTTCTTTGAACTCCATGTCGCAATGACAGCAACCCTGCGACATATGACATTGAGAAGCTTCGTGTCTCCTTGAGAATGGAAGGATCTACCTTATTGGCGCAGAATTCTTGTCGAATATGCGGCCACGAAGTGTTCAAGAAATATGTTTTTAATAAAGACAAAGTAGGTTATACATTTGAAACAAACTTGGGAAAAATTAGACCTTAGTATGTATTTTATCACAAACGAAAATCACTTCAAGTCGGTTAAGGTGTATGATTATCCTGCTTTTGGCCTAAGTCGCAGCAACTGACCTCATATTGCATTTTGCACTGGGTTAAAATTGGTGGGTCACAAGCTGTCATACGTCGCAAGTATGGCGAGCTAACACAGTACATTATTGAGCTTGGGATTATCATTAATCACTATTTAGAGATCGTGCGGGCGTCTTGAGGTCCAAAGACCCGATGAATCATTGTGCAATTCTCGAATAAGTCTAAAGTTACTCGACGCGTAGGAAATTATTTGCCTTTGTACTACACTTATTGTTTAGTCATTAAGATACCGAATTAAAATTGTTGGTATGATGGGGTCAATCTTTGTGATATCACAGGTAATGAGTATGGGGTTACAACTGCAGAAATTGTGATTGATTAGCATGTAAGTGTAACGTCTGTGGTCGCTGCCGAAGCGTCAAAGGTATCTAGATCTACTCGTGTGCCTTAGGCACAAACTAAACCTCAGGCCTAGCGGAGCAAGTTGAGGATCCAAGAATGACAGGCCTCTAGATTAGTACGAGGCTCTGATAAATTGTAATGCTTATGTAATGTTTTTCAAGTTGGAGTCCGGGCTAAATGAAATCAAATCAAAATAATAATAATAATTACTCATTATCCTGATTTGGCGCCTTGAGGCCCATGCAGGTTTTTATCGGAAGATATGTACTTTAAGTAGGATGACTCAATTTGACGTTTAGAACACTCACACTCAGATTTCATTTGCAGGTACCACTCGAGATTAACCCTTACGGCGTATAACCTCTTCCGTGCATACCCACCACAGGGAAAAGCGAGAAAAACCTGTGGCTATCCAAGTGTGCTTTCATCATCCCACAAGTACAATATCACCGCGAGAGAGAATGGTGTGTGGGTCCGACTGGATTCGAACAAGCTTTCTCCTGTCTCGGATGGGGTAGGTGTTCTAGCTACCCAGTATCTGCTTGGGAGAACGGCCCGGATGGCGTACCACTGCACCATCCAACCCTAAGATGAGGAATACTGTACTTATACCGAGTATACCCTGTATTAACAGAAAATCAAGTTACATCTAGTTTTAAGCTCTACCATACATATTAGTAGTTTGGAGCCACGAGACACCCGTAACCCACACCATCACAAAGCTAAGCTTATCTCACTTTCACACATACTAATCCACCAGGAACTTCAAAGTGCTCCAACAAAACTGGTCAGATATTTTTACTCCGAGACCTAAGCGGAGTGAATAGTCAATAGCTGACTTGAAATTTGAAGTCAACCTCAAAATGATGAGAAGACTCTTGGTTCCTTTGTTTTCATTGCTTAAATAGGAATAGTTTTACATTGCAATCGATCATGTACTCTATTACAAGGTATGCCCCTCAAAATTTGGTGAAAGTTAGCTACTTCCGCTTGGGGTATCGCCCTACTCAGAATCTATTTTGGTGTAGGTCAAATTTGACTTTCTTGAAGAGCTGCTATCGCACCCGACCTACAATCTGCACCGAGCCCTTCATTGTTCGGCATTTCACGACATGATCAGGTTAGTTGTTCCTGCCGATGGGGTTAAAAGAATTGTCAAATTTGTTCTTGCATATCTTAATCCTAGCAGCTTATCAGTATCGTACATATTTATTAGATTTTTTGAGCCAACGAGTGTAAGAATAAGATGGATTTATTTTATTTCTTGCACCGGATTTTAACTATGTATACAGCTGTCTTGCTTTGGAATATCAGGGATTGTGTACAAGTTAGATCAATTAATTTAAATGAAGAGTACTCATGCCTCAGATTTCATTCGCAAGGGGGACTATTCTCAAGACCTGTCAGCGGTGTCCCCTACGAACCTCCAGCTCTCACTGTAGAGCCTGCAGAGCCGACATTGAGTAACAAAGTCCTCACTTCGAAGAGGATTCCCAGTCGCTTTCGCGGTCTGTATCATCTTCATCTATCAACACATTCCCCTACCACCATTGTCATGAAGCTAAACACGATCAGATCAGATCAGATGGTAGGGTCGGAGCCCTACTCATCACCAAACCTTGATCACGGAGAAAAAGCCATCCGATGGGTTTCAGGAGCGTACCCAGCACCCGATACGGAGATGGTGGATTGGATCAAGTCGACTTCGACTGTTACAAAGAAGGGAGATACAGATGAATATGCGCACCTCGTGTGGTCCCAGTGTCTAGGCCTCACCTGGCTGGGACTGCAGGTTTTTTGAGACTTTTTCCCGCGCACGCAGTTTCCATTGCTACCATTTTTATTTTTTTGGGTAGAAGGTTCCGTCAATATGGAGGCTGAATTTCACGGGTAAATACTGAGCTGAATGGCTATTCATCACGGGCAATATATCAATGATCTTTCAAGTAACAAAAGAGAATAGGAGCACTGTACAAGGTGTGGCCTGGGTCAGAGAGGAGCCCAATGTGCTAGATAGTCATAGACTCAAGTAGTACAATAAAACACACACACATTTCATTCGCAAGATCATCTGCGAAGTCATGGTGGCTTTTCCTTCGTCCCAGTTCAGCCTTCATTCAAGATGCCCTCATAGGGATAATCCTCCAAACCCCAGAATTATCTGAGTATGCTCAATTATTTACTGACTATTCTCCATACGGAATGTGGCTGAAGTGTCTCCCTCCCAAGTGGAGTAGGTGCCCAGGCTATTCAAACTATACCAAAAAACACCACCTGGAGGCGGATCACGGCTTTAATTGCTGGCTTGTTTCTATAGTGTCGGCTGCACTCTCGCAATCAAAGACTTGGCGCGCACAAAGCTCAATTCGTAAAACTCCTTGCCAAAATTCAGAATCCCACGCCTGTCGAGGTTATATCCATCCTCCATGCCATCTTGTAAACTTGTCCTGATCTCTCTCACGTCCATCCAAAAGAACTGTCTCCCAGATTAACGCGCCACGCTTTGCTACCTCTGTCGAGTGTAAATATCGGCGTGGGCGTGTATTTGGTGACGAGCTGAGGCCAGAGAAAGTCGACGAGAGGTGTGATCATTGGAATGAGGATGTACTAGGTCGTACTTTTAGACCTGATGAGACCTAGGTAGGAGTCGGAATCTGAGGGAGTGAAAAATTGACGTGGTGGAGTAATTTGAACCATTACCTCGTGGGCCAACTTCATTGGTATTGCGAAATTTGACTGAACTTGGCTCTAGGAGAATATTTCACTCCTAGGTTTGTAGAAGGCACCGCGTACAGGTGTTCAGTCTTGCCCTCCTGAGTGTCTGCTAGGTTATACGTAAACAACCTAGGGTTTTTGAGACGTTTCTTTGGGTGGGAATTCACCGATGAGGGTTGACTCGGGGTGAAGAATGAGCCGCCATAACTTCACAGTGGTACTTTTAAATGAAATCCGAGGCATGAGTACTCTAATTATATCCTGAGTCATCTTTTCTATAGTTTTTCTCTGTTATTGTTTGTTTTTTATTTTTAAGTCCTAGGATATACCTGTTTTCCCCTGAGGGCCAAAGACTGGGGTTTACATCTAAGATCATATCTATGACGTGCCCAACTTGTTCCCACCACGTGAACCACTACTCAAATAGTAGCTAGTTAAGTTACATGCAGCCATATATAAAAAAAAGAAAAGAAATCATAACCTAACTCTAGACTCCAAAACTTTGAGCTCCAACTAAATGTCAGCACTTGTGGTTGGGAAGCAAAACTTCTCGCCTCGTTCCCCTTCCGATCGAGTCATGTTACATGGCTAATTTATATGGACATCGCTGAGAACAGAGGTCCAGCCTGCAGTTGATCACCCATAACATCGGCTTTTCTGTGCAAAATTTCAGAAGGCTTCCAGGCACTTGGATCCGAGAAGTTCATGCATGAAGTCGTTGTGGGACTTTAGACCTCGGATTCGACGTGATTCGTGAGAATAGAGCCGACAGTGTTTAAAGTGGGTTGGACTAGTCTCTTTCCCACACGCGCACTCACT